GAATGTCAGCCTAGCAAATGTGAGGCCTGAGTAAAAGTACTGGGAAAGAAAGAAAGGAAAGGAAAAGGAAGGAAGGAAGGGAGGGAGGGAGGGAGGGAGGGAGGGAGGGAAGGAAGGAAGGAAGAGAGAGAGAGAGAGGGAAGGGGAGGGAGGGAGAGACAAGGGGGAAGACCAGAAAAGGAGGAATGGAAGCAAGGAGAAAGGGAAGGAGAGGGAGAGAGGTAGATATTTCTAAATATATAGCTATCTGGATAAATGGAAGACAGTGAACAAGGAAGATCGTAGCTAGACAGTCACAAAAAACAGGACCTTGTAGAGCATGATACAGGCTCTGAATTGTGTTGCTTATGAGATATGAAGCGATTGACTTGCTTCAAGTGAGGAACTTCATTTTAAGAACAGCCTGATTGCTATGTTCCAGAGAAGGGTACAGAAGCAGCAGAGAAACTTGTTTAGTGAAATTGCATCAGCAGTAGAGACTTGAATTTGGTAGCAGCAGGTTTGGAATATCTGCAATTCAAGGAGCCTTTGCGAATGTGCAGATTGACTTTATGTCGTGTTAAAGGGCACACTGAAAAAGAAATAGGAGAGATGACCAGGAAAAGTTTGGTTTGGCCATTGTTGGCCAATGGTGTTGTCATCCACTAAGGTGGAGGAAAGGGATTGTGGAGGGAAAAATCACTGTTTTGGGTTATTCTGTGAGATGCCTTTAAATAGATGTCAGTAGTGATATCACTGTGGGAAACTGGAACTCAGAGAAGCCATCTATCTAAAACCATGACTGTCACTATAGTCACTGACTCATAGACCCTGTGAGGAGTGAATTCTGGTAAAGAACTCAATTCATGTAGCTGGACCTGAGGATACACAGGGAATTTGAACCTGGACTTCAAAAGGTCCTAAAAGCAACGTGGAGAGGTCAAACTTGGTTGGAGTCAATTAGGCAATTTCACATACAAGATTTACATTTTAGATTAGTCATTCATAGATGATCACTGCTGTGTGAGAAGGGGGTAAGGGGACAAGACTCCAAGCCAAATATGAGGGCATCGTGAAGGCCGAGTACAGAGAGAGACTGGGCTGTGCGTGCCCTCTATGCCTGGTTAAGAGTGACTGCAAAAAGCCAGCCCAGGCTCTCTTATATTCTAGTCAGATGATGATTCGTTGTCTCCATGAGACTCAAGGAGGAATTTGCAGCTCATATTGGTGTATGGCCAACCCTCGAAGGACCCGGAAAGGGACTCAGCTCCTCACATTCATCAGACCTAGTCAGCATCTGAAGCTTGTTAGCAGATTCATGGTTCTTTAGGAGTCCTTCACCACCTCGCCTTTTGTCCTCTGCGTAGGCTGATCTGCTTGCAAAGAGGTTAAGCACAAACCCTGGTTTCAATAGAATTAAATGAGGTCAGCAATCTGGTCTTGACATGAAGCCCTTAGGGGTCGGGGCGGGGCGGGAGGAAGGACAGTATGAAGTCAAGATATTTCTATTCCAGAAGAAAGTCATGCCAACACAACTTCTCCCAGATTCCCCCCCAAACTTTGCCCTCATAAAGTTAAGACACTACCACTGTCTCTATTCCAAAAAGCTATTATTTGGATAGAAAGATTGCACATTTTTTGGTCTTTTGGTGGTGGTGGTGCTTGGATGAATTATGTGGCACGAAGCTTGTTGTGGTTGGACTCAACCCTAAACAAATAGCTAAACTTAAAAATATGATTTTTTTCTAGTCTTTCAAAAATAGAAAAATATAATAATCTTTGGGCCGAGGGAGTTTCTTAATGCCAATCACTGGTCCCTGAGCTGGAAATAGAAGCAGATGCTCATTTCTCAAAAGCTTATAAACAAGAAGAGAGATAGGTAAATCCACACATTCCTTTGGAAGGTAGCCCATTTCAGAAGAGCACAGATTCGAATTAAGTCCCACTAAATTGAGTCCATCTCCCATGCTCAAAAAGCCTCACTTCCCTATCTGCAGGTAGCTGGCCTATGTTCTTCAATGATCATGACTCTGAGAGCCTTTCAGGAATGTAGGTGCTGGTATTTCATCTTTAGGCTCCAGACAGATGAAGAGGAAAATTAAGTTGACAAGGGGCTGCATTAAGTGTGTCTGACCACTTACACACAGTCCATATGCTTCCAGTTCTAGGAGCTGAGCTCATTTCTTCCAAAAGGAAAAGAGCTTTGCTGGCTTATGAAAACTCAACTGAGGAGGACAGACTTTGTCAGTGCTGCCCCACCCACATCAAACATCCTGGCTGGATAGAGTAGACTTCTTAATGTGTCACCATGTGGAAAGGGGTGAAGCTGAAATGAAGAGTTCCCTCATACTGGGGAATATTGGGGTTAGATGGAGAGATCAGACTGCCCAGTGAAACCCCTCTGTAAGCCAATCCCCCCACTGGTCTCTCAGAAACTTTTCCTTCAAAGGGTATCGAGTCGATATTTTAACAAGAATGTGCCCATCAGAGATTCTAAAACTTAGTCATTCATTCACTCAACAAATACTTGTTGAAGGCCAGGCTCTGGTGATTCAGTCCTGTAATCCTCAGGAATCTGAGATAGGAGGATCGGTGTTCCAAAGCTAGCCAAGGCAGGAAAGTTCATAAGACTGTTATCTCCAATTAACCACCAAAAATCAGGAAGTGAAGCTGTAGCTCAAGTGATAGAGTTTCAGCCTTGAGTGAAAAAGCTAGGGGACAGCATCCAGGCCCTGAGTTCAAAGTCCCGTTACTGTTTCACACACACACACACACACACACACACACACACACACATATATACACACACACACACACACACACACACACACACACACAGAGCCCCATACAACTACTTATTGAAATCTTGTGGTGTGTCTGTATGTGTGTGTGTGTGTGTATGTGTGTGATATAGTATTCACACTCCTCACCCAGTGGAACATATCATTAAGGTCTTCTAGCTGGTACATGAAAGGCAGGGCAGTAAGATGATAGATCTTGCTAATGACTTCAGACTCTTCACTGCAACCCACTCAGTGTCCAGCATGTAGCCTGTAGGGAATGCCAAAGAAACTAACGTGACAAAAAAGAGAAGGCCACTTTGGTTGTTCTCCTGCTACTGTCTTTGTTTTTCCTGGGCCACACATTTGTATTCCATTCCTTATCTTGTTCTCTTCAGGGGTTGGGGCAGAGGGAGTAGAGAAGGAGAAAGAATCCCCCAGACGAAGGTTGGCAGATGGAGCTGTGAGGCTCCCAGGACTCCAGTGACAAGAAAACCTGAATAATAGAGTCCAAGGATGTTATTTTTAAAAGAGACTCACAAATAGCTCTGTCAGCAGAATCTTGAAGAAGAAAAGAAGCATGCTTCCTTCCTCTCTTCTCCCTCTCTCTCTCTCTCCCTCTCTTTCTGTCCCTCTCTCTCTCTGTCCCTTTCTCTTTCATTGCCCTCTTTTGTTATTGTTCTTTTCTCTTTCAACTTTATTTTTGCCTTGCTGCCTATCATCCATTTGCCCATCTATCTACCTGTGCCCTTATGTTCCTACCATGTCCGCCTTTCCCTATCTCCATTCTCATTATTCTCAGGCTCTGCTGGTCCCAAGCAGATTTATTACCATATTAAATGTAATTTTTTAAAGAAGAAGTTGGCCTTTTTGTACGAGTTTACCTGTAGTTTCAACTGCTTTTCACACTGAAGGTTCTCTGCAGAAGAAATGAGTCATTTTAGAGGATAGACTTTATATAATCATTATATATAATCTCTCCCTATTTGTCTTCATCATAGAAGAAGAAGAGGAGAAATATGGAACCAAAGCCAGGCAACCTCCTGATTTTAGGCATCAGAGCTTGTATGTTCATAACTTGAACATAGCTTGTATGTCCAGCGTGTAGAGAAGTTCTCACTTCTAAGCATAAGTTGGCCTCTTACTTCTAACTCTGTTGCCAGCTTTCTCTGTGACCTAGAAGCAGGTGCCATCCCAGCCTCAGCTCTCAGTTCTGTTTTGCATAAAATGCAAAAAGGAGCTGACATTGTACACATTATCTCACACAATCATGGTAACAATGCTGGATGAATATCCTATCTCATTGATTTATTTGTTTGGATGAGAAAAATGGAAACTTAGAGAGATTCACCTTCTGGGTCACTGAGTCCTGATTTGAATCTGGCTTTGCCCCAGGTCAAAACTCTTTCTCTTTGCAGTCTTCTTTATTGGCTTTTAGAGAGTGAAGTCTGGATTTATGTCTGGTCACTCTTAGAGTGGACCTGAGTTATTAGATCTCTAAGAAGGCCAAAGCCACTGTCAAAGTCCTGTGGTCTTTCCATGTTTAAAGTGCCCAGCATGCTAGTAGTTATAGGAGATCTCAGCTGATTCATAGCTCTCCTTCAATAACTGAACTATAAGGAACTGATTGATTCTGGCTCTTTCCATAGTATTTCACTATGTGAACTATTTACAGAAGTAAACAAGGGATTTGTTGAGCTTAGAAGATACTCAGCAGTCTGCTGCCCCTAAACCATTTTTATGAACATTTTATCAGATGATCAACATCCTAGAAATTCACCTAGTGTTTAACTGAAATTCTGATTGTTTCCATCTAGAACAGCCTATGCTGTTACTTATGGCAAGATTTCCCTTTTCTCAGGGCTGGGAAGATGGCTCAGTGGTAGAGTGCTTGCCTTGCATGCCTGAGGCCCTGGGTTCAATTCCTTAGCACCACGTAAGCAAAAAGAAAAAAGCCAGAGGTAGGTGCTGTGGCTCAAGTGGTAGGGTGCTAACCTTGAGCTGAAGAGCTGAGGGACAGCTCCTAGGCCCAAAGTTCAGGCCCCACGACCGGACCCCCCCCCAAAAAAAAGATTTCCCTTTTCTCTTAAGGCAGAGGGATATTTTATTGTGACTAACAATGAATGATAGCCTAGACAACATTCATGATTTTGGTGGACTGATTCCATATTGACTGCTGATGGTTGAGACCAATTAACAAGTACTTATCTTTCTCTCTCCTTGTATATCCATCTCTTACAGATGAGCCCAGCCGGTGCTATTTCCATGATGGAGATGGGGTATGTGAAGAGTTTGAACAAAAGACTAGCATTAAAGACTGCGGTGTCTACACGCCCCATGGGTTCCTGGATCAATGGGCATCCAACGCTTCAGTTTCCCATCAAGACCAGCAGTGCCCAGGCTGGGTTGTCATCGGACAGCCAGCAGCATCCCAGGTAAGGTCTCACCCCCTACAAACCTCCTGAAGATTCTCTGAACCTCTTCTGTGCTTGCCAGGAATGCCCACCTTACAGATATGATGCCATTAGATGTGACCACATGAGCATATCTTTAGCTACATGTATTATCAGTGTCTCTTGACCTCTTGGGTACCATTTGTAAAGAATTAGAAATACAGTGGCCAGCTGAGGGATCACCAGTGTAATGGAGGTAATGACTAGCCTCTTTTTTCCTTCCCTACTATAATTCCTTTGTGGGCAAGAACTCTACTCTGGCTGGACTACTGAAAATCAGTGGGGGGATGGGGGTAATGACAAATCCATTTGAGGAATTCTCACTTTTAAGGAGGTGCTTTCTACTTTAAGGGTGTAACTCTACCATCAGTATGTTGTATGGCCTTGTGCTGGTCTCCTCACCTTCCTGGGCTCTATGTTTCTTTCCGTCTTTGAAATGGAGAGTAGTTAAGCTTGATGATCTCCGAGGATCTTTACACTTCTAAGAAGCTATGCCTCATTCCTCAGTCCCTTCATGGACTATTTATTTGCTATGTTTTTCCCACAGGGGACTGACAGCATAGTTGAGGGAGTGAGAGTTTTGGGGCCACCAGAGCTTGTATGATGTTGGGGATGGCTATGACTTCCCCAGAGCCCCCTTTCTAATTATCCTGGTGAACAAGCCACCTGCCTTCTTCTGAAACTAATATGTCTTAGAGACCTGACACAGTGGTTCCAGCTATCCAGCCCAGTAGCCAACGAAGCCATATTTCCCAGATATTTCTTTCCAATTTCTTGATGAAAGAGAAGGACGCCCTTCTCTTGGGCCAAATGAAGACTCATTGGGTGAAGTACAAGATAGGAGCACTTCCTTGACTCCTTTTTTTATTTTGCATTTGTTTGACCATTATGTTATCATTTTGCTTATTTTTTATTTATTTACATTTGTGTCTGAACGCCCTGAGGAGGGTAGAAATAACTGGGAACATGGCGCCCCTCATCCCAGCCTAGGGAATAATGAATGCACGCAAGAAGGAAGGGTCAGGGTTCACCTTCTCCTCATGCCTCTCCTCCACCATGTGATTGCAACTTCACCCTGAACTCTTTATCTGTTTATTCTCTGGCTTCCCTACCAGAACCCTGTCACTTCATGAATAAGTTTGAGTTCCACTCATCTCTGTCCCTTGTTTTTAAGCACAGAATCTAGATTAAACTAGATGCTCAGAAAATGTCTGTTTTCTTGACTGTAAACACACACACGTGCAAATGACACTGAGAGAATATCTCAGGTATCACTTCTCTGATCACATGGAACGTCGAGGAAATCCAAATCAATGGTAGCATCCATTTCCTAGAGATGCTTAAAAATATCACTCCAACATGGGAATTATTAATGCATTTGGAACCTCACATTAAAAAAAATGTTGAGGTAGCAGCTGTGCCTTAAAATCACCCAGAGCTTATTGTTACTGATCTGAGCAAAGGAGAGAAAGAATTTTCCAGTCTTAGCATTTGAAAAGAGGCTTCATGGGACAATTATTCCACTCTTGTAAGGAAAGGGCTGTCAGGAATTATGGGTGATTATCTCTTCCTAAACAAAAATCCAATTAAAAAAATCATTATAAATACTAGCTCTTCGATTTACAAAGAGGAGATGAGGATACAAAATCATCCCTATTGAATTATTCATTGTAACCAATTTTATTTTAATGAAATCGACTAGGTTCCATTACTCTGGGTTTGGACATAATCTTTGTTGCAAGGAGACTTCAGCTGTAACTAAATTTGCCATAATGAGATCAGCTCACTGGAGAATACAGGGTCAAGGGAGAGAATATGAGTACAGGCTAGGTGTGGGGCCTGGCAGGCAGAGGGTGTCCTGGGAGGTGCAGAGCAAGAGTCTTCTGAATTCTTTCTCTGAGAGCAAATGCTTAGATATCATGAGTGAGTATACTTGCCCCCACCCTCATGCACACATGGGCAAACATGGACACCCATGTACCCATATGCATATGATGCAAACACACACATTCACATTTGCATTTCCAAAACGATACGAATCCTGCATGATTCAGGAGAAAGACTATTCCTAAAGTGGAAGGATAGCTCCCTTTCAACAGCAGAGAGGAAAAGGAAGTAGGACTCTGCCCTTCATTATATTGTTCAGTGATTAAAGGAGACTGGTAGTTAATTTTCACCCTGTCAGGGCCTCCAGTGAAGATAGTGAAGTTGTTATGACATGGAAGGGGCTTGGAGGTTCTTAGAAGTTGAGCTTAAGAACAGAATTGGAAGGTGTACCACGTGTCCTTCATCTTCCTCCAAATCCCCCTTTCTTTGTCCTGTCCTCTGCTCCCTTCTTCTCCCTCTCTCCCTCTCCTCCCTTTCTTCTCTCCCCTCTCACACAGACATACAAATTCATACATGAATAGGTCCCCATAGCAGCTCAGAACCAGAGGGTGACCAAAGCAAACACCGGGGAACAGAGCAAGGGAACAAGTCAGTATCAAAGCATCTTCAAACCCAGGCTACTCCCATTTCTGCACAGACTGACACTATTCCATGGCCCATGCTGTTTACTAGGATACTTTTTAAACTTGAGGAATGGAGACCCTTATAATCTAATTTACCCAAAGCTCTGCCTTTCCTTGATCCTCTAAAAATGATATGTGTAAGTACTTATTGGAGCTATGTGGCCACCTCGATGACAGAACCTGTAGAAGAAATCAAAGAAGTGTGAAAACACAGCTCCTGACCTTGTCACAGTGTAAGATGTAGGTGTGAGAATTTCATCCAAAGGCAAAAGCCTCATCAGATTGAGTCTTGAGGCTCTCACGGCTACTGCGAATGAGCAACATTCTTAGTGTTGTGAGTTCTAGAATACTGATTAAAACTTCACTTTGGGTATTGCATATGCCTGCAACATTTCATGATTTCCAGTTCTTTTCATCCATTGTTCTTGAACCAGATCCCCAAATTTGGTTAGAATAAAGCTAATCCTGAATGCTAAATCTCATATCTGAATATTATCAGAAGTATCAAAACTTCCTGGTTGTACAAACTGGGCTGAACATCCTATAATAAGAGACATTCTTTGGATAGTTTGGCCAGGTACCATCTGGACCCAGCTGTAATCAAGAAGTTCCTGAGACAGAACTGCCTACCGCCACCCCTCATCCCCCAGCAAAAAAAAAATGGAATTGAACTGAATGAATCATGTTATCTCTCTTCTAGAGATCTCAGAAATGGTTTGGCTTAAGTGCTTGCAAAGATCTTGTCTAGTTCTTATTTTGTCTCCATGTTTTACATTGTTCTAATGCTTTAGAACAAAGGCTGCCAGGATATGATACAGATATTTCTTCTTTTTGCTCTCACCCCTAACATTTTTTTTAAACCAAAGCTGATTTCCTCCTGGCTCTCCTGCCAACAGGCAATGACCTGAGGAGGAGGTGGCAGACCCAAGACAATCAGGAATTTATAGTTTCTCTCCTAGGCATTGCAGATCCTCGGTCAAAAGACCATTGAATTTGGTTAATCCTCTGAGGATAAAATTTAGACTATCCCTTTCTCAGACAGTAGTTTGAGGACCAAAGTAAAGGAAAACTTTCCTAAGAAGGAGATCTATCCACATTAGAATAGAGTGTTGTGGAAGTTTCCACCATGGAACATGAGAAAGCAGAACCCCTGTAAACCCATTATTGGTCATCTCTGTCGTTTCTCACTTCCGTTTGAGTGGCTATTATCTATTCTTTGCTGTGACCATAATACTATGCCAGGTGTCATAAAGATCTAGGTAGTACATGCCTGTAATCCCAGATACTCAGGAGGCAGAGGTGGGAAGATCCTAAATTTGAAACCCAACACTGACAAAAGGTAGTATGATGTTCTGTTTCACAAACATTTTTTAAGTTGGATGGAGATATAGTATAAGGCCCAGAGCCTAAGTTTTATCCCCAGCACTCAATGAAAATAATCTATCTCTTAAGTTGATTGAAGAAAAATTTATTTAAATCTTGCATTTAAGAAATATAAAAGAGAGAATGGGGGATAATGTAGTTTGGTGGAAATTATGGCCAACTGGCTTTTCCTTAACTTCTGAGTAAGTTGTTCCTCTAAGAATCTCATGGTGCTCCTTTCAAAATGGAGATGATAGTATCTACCTAGTGGAAGTTAAGGTAGATAACATTTAGCTGGTGAACAGCAAAGAGGCAGAGAAACACTAAGTGGTAGTGTTGTACTTCTGAAGTAGTACAAATGTCACTGCTCTATCTCAATCATGTTAGCTTCCTTCACCTAGATCTGGCCATGATGAGCCACACAGCAGAGAAGCCTCATCATCATGATGTGGACTTCATCAGAATCCCATCAGTCACTGCTTGCTGCACACTCACAGTTGTAGTAGGCACTTTGAGAAGTTCTAAGGAAGTCCTGAGCCTTTTGCTGCCCTCAAAGCACTTCTAGTTTCAACAGGGTTTGCCCAACTAGAAACAGTAGTCAACCATGATAGAGCATGAGATCCAGAGGGATTTTTTCCTCCAATCAACCTTACTCAGCCTGCAGGGATGAATGGATAAGTCATTTGCCCACTTTCAGAAGAACCCAGATAGATTATAAAAATAGCATTTACCAAGTTCCTCTGGGCTCTGCACCAAATTCCTTGAATCTTACTACAGCTACTACAGAAACAGTCATTAATGTTCTCACTTTACAGATGAGGACACTAAGACTCAGACAGCAGAAGGACTTGCTTTGGGGATCCTGGCTGGAGGGGGCTGAACCCATTGTTTCTAATAGGAACCCGAGTTCAGGATGAAGCAATTCATACCTGCTTCCATCACTGCTGTGTAAGAAGAGGGGGAAGAGCTCGTGTCTTTCTGGAAGTGATAATACATTTCAGCAACACCAAGAGAGTGGGTGTGCTCCCTCACCAGTACCCCAAATCTCCAAATACTTCCATTCCTTCCACTCTTCCTTCCTCTGAGATCTCCATCTGTTCCTTTTCATTC